CTCTGTCTCTGGTGAATCCTCTCACCCTCCGCATCTCTGGCCTATACCCTAGTTCTGTATGAATAAATAAATAAATCTTTAAAAAAAAAAATAAAAAAAAAATAAAAGTAGTTAATTCAGCCACTAGCCATAAAAGGAAGAATCACTTTCCATGGCCTCAGATTTGTCACAACAGAGTCTAGTTCAAAGACTTCTTACCCAAGACCATAGACTCAGTAAGTAGCAGGGATCATGAATCTAAGTGTCTTTAGCCTCAGAGCCTGAATACCAGAATGTGGTCCCAAAGTTGGCTACTTCTGATACCCAGAAGACCAAAGGGATAACTCTTGGGGAACCAGAACTAAAGTGAAAGGGCAGAAAGGAGATGGCAAGAAGATAGTCACCAGAGTGAGGCTCAGGGCCTATGAAGCTGTCAAAATCCAGTGTCTGGGCCCTAACCTGCCTTAGAAAAAGGAGTTAGGAGGGAAAAGCGATACAGCTGTTCAAGGAGCTCATCTTAAGAGAAAACAACTGTATTTATACTAATCAGGTGGCTGCTCTTTGCAATCCCTTTGTTAAGGGAAAACAACCCATTTTACAGATGGGCAAGAGCTCAAGGAAATAAAAAGATTAGTCCAAGAGTCTCCCAACAGTGTTGGTTGATGCCAAAACTGGGCTTCTAAATCAATTGAATCTGTCTCAAGTTACTTGGAGCAAAAATACAAAACAAAACAAAATAAAACCCAGCACCACTTTTCATCCCTCTCCTCCCTTCGTATACAAGAAGAGCAATCTTTGTTGGTTGTTCCTCTAAAATGCAAACCAGATTTTCTCTTTGTTCCCTCTGCTGCTGTTGCAAAGCACCATCATCATTGGCCTGGACTATTCTAGCACCCTCCTTTCTGATCTCCCCACTATTACATTCAGTTAAAAAAACAAAAAAAGGGAACATGCTGTTCTCTTCCCCCACTGAAACCTTCCAGAAACTCCCATTACCCTTGAGATAAAAACTAAGTATTTTATTCCATTTACAGGATGCAAATTAGATGCAGCTCCTGCTCCCCTCACCCCCACCACCATGGCTTCCTCGCTGAGCACCAGCTTCATTAATTCATTTTCAGTCTTTTTGGCTCTTTCTGCCTTAGAGTCTTTGCCTTTGCTGTCACTTCAGCTCAGGCCACTTGTCTGGGAGGTGGGAAGAGTCACACAGTGTGAAGGTTGCTTCTGCCAAGAAGGCGACCCTAATTGCTCTAGTCTATTATCTTGTTCCTTTGCAGCATTTTCCGCCATCTCAGATTCTCATTTACTTTCTCTCTATATTAGAGCAGTAGATCAGCAAATTTTTCTGTAAGGGGATCAGAAAGTAAATATATTAAGTTTTGTGGGTCACAGGTTCTCTGTTGAAACTACTCAGTACTGCCATTTTGCAAGAAGACAGCTACAGACAATACATAAATAGATGTGACTGTGCTCCAATAAAATTTTATTTACAAAAACAGATGGCAGGCTTTCTCTTCTTTTCTGCCACTGAGTTGTCTGCACATGACTGTTCCTGACCATGACTTTTCACAAGACTTTTGGGATCGAGAGAGTCTTGGCCAAAAAACAAAAGCAGAATCACCCCATCCCCCAGTGCATTCAGATAAAAACTGGTAATAAGATCAGGTACAACTCCAGGAAAAGACATTGGAGAAGAACCATGCTGGGCCTACATGGAGAACTGCCCATGAGGTGGCACAGCTCTGTGTAAGTTCACTGGCATCTTGCATTACCATGCTGAAAACCTCACTATTTAGACTTGTTTAGGAAATTAGTTGTCTCTTTTTTATGTTTCTGTGCCTACTAGGTTGGCTCAGTTATAAAAATATGAGATCTTTGTTTGAAAATGAAAAGCAGATGGTGGGCTGAATTTAGCCCATGGACTTAGGGTGCAAGATTGAGCTCCAGAGGCAGAAGACCTCATCTTCTTCTTCTGCCTCCTCCACAACTGACCCTCTAAGGACTTTCTCACTAGGAGTGCAGATACTGGTTGGATTAATATACAGTACATGGGAGGACTGGAAGCAGAATGAAGACACAAACATTGGTAGATATGAAGCTATTCTCTCCTCCACAACAATGTAATTTCTGTTTTACAGACAGGGAAATTGAAACCCAAATCAGGTCATGTTGTAAACTCAGGTCAGTCTCCAGTCCCTGAGACACTTGCTTCACTCGTCACCACTAGAAATGTCAACCAATGCAACCGTGGGGAAAATGACCCTGAGGTCTTCTAAAGGCATCCAGAATGACTTGACCCATCACAGACCCCCTCCTCCACCTAGAAGTGGGCTTAGCCCTTGAGAGCAGTAAGGAACTTCTACCTTTTGGTCTCCAAAGCACAGTTTAGAAAACACTCACAAGAAAAGTTTGTCAGGTCGGACCTCTCTCCTTCCCAGAGTACATATGGATCTCTGGTTGGAGGGCCACACTCCAAAGGTCAGGACAGAAACACTCCATGGAGCCTGAAAAGTCACATTCTAGAGGCCAGGGGAGGCCAAATGCCAGGGCTGGTGGCAGGACAGCCACGTGTCCTGAGCCATGGTCACTCACAAGGCCAGAGCTGAGTCACACCACATACTGGAAATTAGTCACAGCCTCTGATTTCTCACTTGGTGTGGGCCTAGCAGAGGCCCCCAGCAGAGGTGCCCAGTCTCAAGCTTTCAATGAAGACTTTGCCACTCTTACCCATACAGAAAAAACTAATAGAAAGACCACCAGGCCCACCCTTGCGATCTCTCTCTGGGCTCACGTTACCAGGAATATGAGCTGGGCAAAATAACTGGAGTGTGCTGGGCAGAAATGCCTGCTCCTTACAAGGTCCTTCAGCAACTGGAGGCTTTCTGTTGGGGCTCACGGGAGGCTTGCTGCCTAACCAAGCAGGTTTTACCTCCAAACAACCCTTGAGTCAGTTGATCTGCCTCTCCAGAGTTACCACCCCAGCCCAGGTTGTCCTCTACTCTCTCCTGGACACCAGCCAAGCCTCTTTCCTGAGCTACCACGTAGCCCTCTCTCCATCTGTCCTCCACACAGCAATATTCTTGGAACACAAATCTGATCAGTCACCTATTCTCTCGCCCACTGAATGGTATCTTAGCACTCTTAGGGTAAATCCAAGCCCTTTGCACCTAGCCTGCGCACATTGGCTCTTACTACTCACCCCTTTACTTGCCCCAGCTAAACCATGGCCCAGGCACTCACCAAAGCCCCTTCTTGTCTAAGACCTATGCCCCACCCTCCAGTGTTTTTCATCTCTTGATATTCGTGCCCTTATGGAATACTTTCTCACATCAACTCAGAAGTGGTCTGTGTGGCCAAGAAAATATGGTGAATGTGAAGATGCATCCAAGGTTACTTCTTGGCATGGCAGTGCCACCTTTGTCTCATGGGGCAACCTCCATCTTGTGAGGATGCTTAGCAGCCCTGTGGGGTGGTCCGTGGGGAGAGAAACCAATTTTACCATCCACGTGAGTGAGCCACTTTGGAAGATATTCTTCCAGCTCTGGTCAAGCCTATAGGGGTTTATAGTTCCAGCCAATATCTGACTATCATCTCGTGGAAGACCTCAAAGTGGATTTGTTGACTGCTGTTGCCAAATTCTCAACCCAAGAAACACTGAAATGGTTTGGACGGTGTTTTTCTAAGCTACTGGACTTTAGACTTCTTGTTATATAGCCACTTAATGATGGGGATATGTCCTGAGAAATACATTGTTGGACAATTTCATCATTAGGATCTCAGAGTAATTACACAAACCTCACTGGTATAGCCCACAACATGGTAGGTGGTAGTTGTATAAGTGGCCCACCATTGACAAAAACATCTTTAAGCAACAGGTGACTATAATAATCACAAGATTAACAAGTACTTGTCATGCCCTAGGGAGTCCTGCTATTCCATATGTCCCCTTCTCCTGCCTGATCATTTCTAATCATTCTTCCTTCAAGGAACCTGGCCTGACCTCCTCCAGCCCTAGCAGATGTCTGACAGTCTCTTAGAACAGCAGCCCTTTCTTTCAGAGTCTTTACCTCAGCTGGTGATTTAATATTTTAGGGTGATGGTTTTTTGTCAGTCTATGCTCAGCAACTAGCAAAGTGCCCAGGGTATCAGTGACATGCAATAAAGACCCATGGAGCTGGCCTGATTGAGGGTATGATGCCTGTTCTCCACACATTAAATGCTTATTCTGCAAACCTACATCTAAACAACAAATGGACACATTCTTACTCAGCTATTTCTACTTCCAGGAATTCCTCCTAAGATTTACTCACACACATGCAAAATGAGAAGTGGACACAGCTGTTCACTGAAACTTGTCTGTAGCAAAAGCCTGAGAAGGCCCTAGTTGGCCATCAGTGACAGTTAGCTAAAGAAACTGTGCATCTAGAACCAAACCACAACAATAAAAACAAACATTTCCACAAAAATGGATTGGGGATTGCTTCCTAGCTAGAAGTGAAAAAAAGGAGCAGTACAGTACAGAACACAAAGTGCACTATTGTTTATGTAAAACAAAGTGGGGAAGGGCTAAAGATTTATTTATTTTTTATTTATGCATACAAGAAATGGCATGAAGGCCAGAGGTGTGAGGGATGGAGGTGGAGAGTGAAAGGATTCACCATGACAGAGTGGGGAGCAGAACAGGAAGATCTACTGAAGTACACCGCTGAGGGGAGCAGCAGAAAAGACAGGTCTGCTGGCCATGTGGGTGAGCTCCCTGACTGGGGATCAAACTCATGCTGCAGTGGTTGGCAGTAGCTTGATAGCACTGACTGAGACTTTAAACTATGGGCCAGCCACAAGGGAGGCCCCTATGTGTATTACTTGTCCATGCATAAAACCTCTTGGAAAGTTCCTAGAAATAAAGGATGCTAACTAGCAAGGTTAGGAGATGTGCGTAGAAGGCAAGTTCCTCCAAATATTCTTTTGAAATGATGGACCCTGTGGCCATGTTATTTATGTCAAACAAAAACAGAGCAATGGAGAAAGATGATTTTTCAATAAACGGTGCTGGGCCCCTGGATGCACTGGAAAAAGTGAACCTTGACCTCTACCTCACACCATCTACATCTACTCAATTCCAGATATCTTGCAGATCTAAATGGAAATGCAAAACCAAGTTTTTTAAATAAAACAAAGGCATTGGCCCTCTCTGGTGGCGCAGCTGGTTAAAGCACAGCACTAAGAAACTAAAGCCATTTCTGCATGAGTTTGATCCCCGCCTGCCCCAGAGAAGAAGCAAGTGTGTCTTTAACAGGAAGAAAGCACATTAATCATAATGGAAAATATGTAGGCTGTATAAAAATGAATTTGTTCATCAAAAGATATGCCTAATAGGCAAGCCACAGACATACATGGGGTGTATGTCTCATTCCACAGTACATACAGAATGTCTTCAAATTACTAAAAAGAGGAAATTTTTTTCTTATGTGGACAAAAGAATTGGACAGTAGTGAAATTGCAAAAGAGGATATACAAGTGGCTAAGATTCAAATGGAAAACTGCTCAACTACAACTACAGTCATCAGGAAATGCAAAATGAAACATTAATGTGATATTACTCCCACACACGCACCCTCCACACACGCACACACCATCTACAGCAGTGTCTAAAATGAAAATTTGCAAGTGTTAGCAAGACCAGTGTTCTGCATGGTACAGCCACTTCAGAAAAGGGTGTGGCAACATCTACTACAGCAAAATGTATTTCTACCCTAAAACCCTGCAACCCTATGCCAGGATAAGTGTTAAACTTCTCCAAATGATACAAACCTGCTCGTAGCAGCTCTTTTTGCAAGAGCCCAAAACTGAAGACAACGTAAACATCCCACAGTGATAGGACAATAATCCCATGTTCACACTGTGAAATCATATACCTAGGGTTAAATATTTTCTGTAAGCGGTAAAGTAATATTTTAGGATTTGTGAGCTTTACTTCCTTACAACTCAAACTCTGTACCTGTGGAGAAAAATACAGCTACAAATAATAATGTAAATGATGGGTATAGCTAAGTGCCAATAAAATTGCACTTGTGGACACTGAAATTTTAGTTTCCTACTTTATTCACATGTCACAAAATATCCTCCTTTGACCTTTTCCTGACCACTAAAATGTAAAAGTGATTCATTACCTACCACCTGGACAAAAACAGACTGTGGGGTGGGTTTGGCTCAGGCACTGTAGTTTGGGGAACCCTGCTCTTCAGCATTGAGCGCTCCACAACTCTGTGAAACTTGGATGAATCTCAAAAACATACTCAGGAAAAGAAGTCAGACACAGACAAATACATATTGCATGATTCCATTTATAGAATTCACCACAGTACATCTCTCCACTTCTCTCCCTCTGAGTTTGGGTTTCCTTCCTTCCAAGACCCCGCCAACCTTGCCTCCCCTGGGCCTCTTCAACCTGAATGGGCCCCAGGGCCACCAAGCACTATAGCCAGCAGGCTCTGGAGAAAAGCAGTGGTCAGCACTCAGGGAATTACCCACCTCTTGAGGCACCAAGTGAAAACACACAGCGTCCACTCCTGAACTGCAAAGAATAGCCTTCCATACCACACTGAGCAGGGATGAGAAGTGGGCCTTCCCCTGGCCATTAAATCAGAGGGACTTCACGTGAAGCACCTCCTTCCAGGAAATGATTTCTAGTTAACCTCAACCACCTGTCCAAAAGCCATCACCATGTTATTAAAACTACCTGGCAAAAGA